TATGGGAAATACCCCAACCATGAAGAGAATCTAAAATCGTCAATAATTGCATGATGACAGACAGAATAGTGGCATCTTCCCGAACTGTAGATCGCCGTCGGAGCCACTCGTAAAGATCTAAACCACCAAGTTCGGATACGATATAGGTCGCATCACAGTCCTCAAAAACGTCGAGGATCTTGGGCACACCATCAATGTCAAGATTCGCAATAAGTTCCATAGTTTCCGCCTCTTCTGGGCCGTGCCCTGCCATATCCGAGATACAGGGGGGGATCGTCTCATACGGGGGCTTCTCGATAATCTTCAACGCGACGGGTCTTCCAGTTTGTCGACATATTGAGCGACAAACCTGCCCGTACGCTCCTGCCGCTATGGTAGACCCGAGCTGGTAGGAAGTATCGAAGGCCGTGAGGGCGGCATCACTGACTACTCTCATAGGTGATGTTGGAGGAGTAGTGCAACATGTACTGCATGGGGAAGACTCTTCAATGGTAGTAGCGTCTCGTCGAGGTTTTAGAAAGGATAGTTGCAGTCGAGGAGTTACCGAGTCTTCTTCTTCTTCTGAGGGAACATTGAGGGCAGCAGTCATGTTGAACGCGGAGGGGAAGGGTAGTCGAAACGACAATACTTCGACCCTCCGGGGCGCGAAAACTGAAGAGAATATTAACCGAAGTGAGAAGCAAAACTCGATGAGCGATGGATTTCCCGTTGCTGCGTTGAAGCTACTTTGAAAATCCCTTTCGGTCTCGGACACTCCGCCTTCTAAACGGCTAGCAAGGTAAACACCAAAAAACTCGACAACTTACGAATCACAAACAAGGTAACGTCTACTAAACTCCGTTAAACGGCTTGCTGAGGTAAGTGCAAGGGAATTTCGCTGCTCTACTCTGACGGCAGTCCTCTGCTAGGAGAACAAATTCTTAGAAGTCTGTAGTCCTCGAGACTTTCATGTACAACCACAAGTTGACTTTCATGCCGAGTAAAAGAGACCTCACACACTCCACGCTGTCGTCCTGCCTGGTCGTCGAAGGGAGCACGTCACGGAGGCCGCGCGCGTCATTTTGATCGATATGATGAGAAGTTCCCTCAACGGAACCATCTCGACTTCGTTGAGATATTGTAAGAATACTCAAGAGCGCAAGGACAGTAAGCTGAGACGCACCATTTGCGTATCATACAGTTTCATTTGTCGTCTCGCTCGTATCTCATTATTATCGTATATTCATCTACAATACCTCATCACAACCACTGGAGGTTGTGTTGCGTTGGGCTATTATTGTGGTGTCTACTTCCTCTATACACGGAATTTTCTACCGGGATGACGAAGCAAAGTTCATCCCGAGACCTTAGACGCTCGCCGAGATTCACACCATTGAACGGAGATGACGAGCCAATGACCGGTGGCAATAAAGAAGATGCAAGGCCTCAGAAGATCGCGCCGGAGGGTTCGTATATATCTGGTACGGTGAAGGTGCCCCAGAAACCTACCCCGAAGGTGCCTCATGCATCGGCTACGGAGGCGGAGGTTACATCACCTGACAAGTCCTTCGAAGATCTACCATCTGCCGGAAGCGAGCCTTCCATTCAACACCATGCTTTCCAAGACAACCTATTGTCGAGAAGTCCATCCTTCAATTCTACTGCTGCTCGGCCATCCAAGGACAGCAGCTCTAGCGACTCTCACGCTTCTCATAAGTACGAGGATCGCCCTGATGAGACCAAGGCGGCACACGTCTCGACACCCTCTTTCCGCCCAGGTGAAGCTGGAAGGCTACCTTCATCTGATGTGAAGGTATCTGTTGTCGACATTCCCTACAAGACTGGTAACCAAACTGATCAACATCTTCCTCAAGGTCAAACATCAAAAACTGAGGGTCTCTATGGTTCGCCGATTGCTCTTCCCATTAGCAATCTTAACTATGCCAACGGTCAATATGGTCAACCCCCTCTTCAAGCTCCCACTGTGGACCATGCCAACGGTCAATATGGTCAACCCCCTCTTCAAGCTCCCACTGTGGACCATGCCAACGGTCAATATGGTCAACCCCCTCTCCAAGTTCCCACTGTGGACTATGCCAACGGTCAATATGGTCAATATCCTCTTCAACGTCTTCATCTGGGCCCGGTCAACGCTCAGTGTGGACATTATCCTGTTCAAGTCCCCTACGGTCCTCTCTCCATCCCCTACGTTGGCTCCGATCTCCCAGTATCGACTGACGCTCGAGGTGATGGTCGACGTGGTCTAAGTTTCTACCCAGCCTCTCACAGTCGTCCTGCTGTGATGGGAAATGTCTATGGTGCCACATCGTCGCTTCCGTGGCAGGAGTACGGTAATGGTCCTCTGCCGGTGCCTCCGCTAACCGGCCAGAATCCTAGTTGTGCTCCACCATCTAGGGCACCAGTCCCATTCCAGGATATCGGCTACGGCACTACTGGTCCACATCCACAATATGCACTGTATGGTCCTCCACCGCAGCTAGGGCATCAAGGAACGGTACCTGCGCAGGTTCCTACCCACCATCACAATCCCTTGGCAGGGGGTGACTACTCTGGTGTCCATCAGTTCTCTGGTCAATCGTACAACCCGTATGCTAAGGAATTCCTCACCGAGAGTCAGTTGAGAGATACCAATCGACGGGTCGAGTCTCTCATCGCCTTATGGCGCAAAGATCACCAGCCATTCACAGGCGGGCAAGGATCCAGTGTACCCAAACTCATACATGATTGGACGACCTTTTGCTCTACGCAATGGTTGGGTGTGACTGATCCACCAGCGGTTCGAGCATTCATGGGTGGTGCTCTCTCCGTGAAGCTTAGCGCAGATATTAAGGCGGCATACGAGTCTTGCCGTGTGGCAGACTTCTGCTCTCGGTCTTACCATCACTCCTTGATGCACTATGCTTTGGCGTACATCCGAGCTCATCATTCGGCACCAGTCTCAGCTACCCATATTCTACAGAAGTTCCTGGCCAACAAGCAGAATGGTCGTCCATTGTCTGTTTTCCTTGACGAGATCGAGACGGCTACTTGGGAGATGCGTTTCATCTTCGAGAGCAACCAGCATGCTCCACTTGATATCGGCTATATCGCTAGCAGCATCATCATCGGCTTGGACGAGCCTCACAATGGTACGTTCTATGATGAGATTAAGTCTCGGTATGGTGAGGGTATGCCCAATACGTTTGATGGCTTGGCAGACGTCCTTCGAGCTCTACGACGAAGGGTCTTCGTGTTGAGCACTGGTATGAGTACGGGTCTCAAAAAATCTGTTCCACAACATCAATTACAACCTTTGGTCAACCAGGTCTCTGCCGTTCCGGGAGGTTCCACAGCATCTGTGAAGACGTTGGAAGGGGCTGAAGATCCTCCCCAACAACATTCTGATCATCGGAAGAAGCAGTCTAAGTCCGACTTCTGTAAACGGTGCTATAAGGGAGCTCACTCGGAGGAGGCATGTACTGCTGATGAGCCCAAAGACCTTTCCGTCCGGTGCCGTTGTGGTAGTCGCCGACATGCAGTCGATAAATGCCCTCTGGATCAAGCTAAGGTCAAGTGCTCTCGATGTCTCGGCGCTGAAGGCCTCCCGCAACAGCAACCTCACAGGAGTGGCGTCTGTCCCTACTCTCTGCAGCAGATCCAAAAAGCTGGCTCTGGCGGTCAATCGGCTACGGCTAAGGCTGTCAATCCCTCCCCGGCTGCTGCTCACGCCAAGTCCGTGCTGATTGTTGATGGTCATGTCACTGGAGGATCGCACGGTGCACAACCTCACATACCCTACCCCGAGATCTATGCCGTCGACATCGGCGCACAAGTTAAGCTGAGCTCAGTGGCTGTCTCCCAAGAGCTCCGCTCCCCTATATCTGTCGCCTATCCAGATTGTGCGGCATCGGTGACTGCGTCTTGCTTGTGGGACTCGGGTGCAACGGCAACGCTCGTCAGAAGAGACGTCATTCAACTCCTCGATGAGAGAAGCCAACTCCCTGCCTTGAGCAGGGTCATGAGTGTGAGCCCGACAGTGGGATCAACGCCTACAACAGAAGCCATCCTTGCTGATAATCGCACGAGGATCTCTATACAGGGCACGTGCAGGCTAAGATTAGCTACACGCAATGCCACGGCTGAACTCGACGTCTTCATTGTGGACCAGTTGGGCTGTCCCATCATCCTCGGTGTCCCGACTCTGGCTGCCCTCCGGGTGACCCTATCCTTCAGCGACAGCAGTATATCCATCACGACTGGACAACAACCACGGGAGTCGTCCACATTACCCATCGTAGGACAGTCTGCTACTATGGAAGTCGCCAGTCTGAACGCTGAGACCAGCTCTATCCAGACGGTACCCGATCTACCACCCTCTCAGCTCTCTGCTGTGCTACACCAAAGACTTCTTCCATGCACTACCCCTTCGGACTGCATCACTATTGAGACTACACGTTCAGGTCGGTACGCCGTGAACTTCAAGTCGGACAAGCTTGAGAAGGTTGCCGGGTCCGGCTGGTCAGCTACGGTAGCAAGAGCCAGGAGGTGTACCAGTCGCAAGTCAGGGTCTGAGCTCAGACTTATCCAACAAGCCCTTGACAAGCTCAAAGCGTCTCACGGTGTCAGTACATTGACTCTGCGCTCATTGTCTGTTCCTCCACCGAAGAGTGCGATCGCTAAACTGTACTCTGGTAACGAGCTCATCAAGCACACGCACTTATGTCAGGGTGACTGGCTTCACAGACATCATCCCGTCTTTGTCCCTAGCCAATTCGTCCTCAAGCCCTCTAGTGTAAGCACCCCATGCAGGATAGTCTTCGACTGTCGTGAAGTCAATAAAGTTCTCTCTAAGCCCAACACTACCCGCTGGGATCTACTTCACTACCTCACCTACTCGTGCACCGTCCCTGTGGTGAGCTATGGGGACTTAGCCAAAGCCTTCAACCAGGTTTTGCTTACTTCACGCTCTGCTGGGACCTGCTGCACTGTATTGAGGAGCCCTGACTCTGGTCTGTTCACTCTCGTGGTATGGTGTGTCATGCCTTTCGGTGCATCACCTAGTCCCGGCGGCTTGGAACTGTCGACGGCCTACATTGCACTCGAGAGTCGCGATCTTTATAGCCAACTGGCACCAAGATTTGATGACGTCTCTCCCAATGGGACCTTACGGCTCCCTGAGTTCTATCAACATCGAGACTTCGACCATGCACGCCCAGTTCTTGAGTCTGCCTTCAACGACTCCCCAGAGATTCGTTCGGCACTCTCTGCTACTCTCCCGGAAGATTTGGGATGGAGAGACTATGTCGATGATTGGTCATGGGGCCTATACCACGTGCGGCAATTGCACTGGGCGAAGTCCGTCTTCACAGGAGTCGCTCGGTTCCGTGGGTTTTCCTATGCCGAGGGTAAAGAGAACGACTCCTGGCAGGTAGGATCTGATGCACCCCTACTGGGCTACCACCTTCGTGATGATCGGCTCTGCACTGTCATCGACGTACCCGATCTTGCGTTCGGAGCCACGAAGAGAGATGTGAGCAAGTGTCTATCATCTCACTATGATCCTCTCGGACGACACATCGAGCTCAGCATGTACAGCAGGGGTATTTGGCGTCGTGTGGTCTCATCGATAAACACATCAGCTGTGGCTACTGACCTGTCTTGGCGATGCCGAGTGTCAACAGAACTCATCGAGGAGGTGAATGATTGGCTTCGACTCGCACGAGCTGCCCCACCTACGCCTCGATATATTCCACTCCACTCCGGCCCATTCTGCGATATCCCTTGCTGTATTGCTATCTCTTGTGATGCTAGCAACGCTGCCTGGGCAACGGATACTCGCTCCAGGTTAGGTGGTGGTCCACTGAGCCCAAGGTTGAGAGGCCGTGGTGGTATGTTCCCTGCACCCGCATGTGTATCGACTAGTTCCCTGTCGGCAGAGGCCACGATCCCTCGCAAGGAGCTCCACGCCCTGGTACAGGCCGCAGCCGAAGCTCACTACTTGTGCTCGACCCTTGGCCTGGACAGGCGCCTTGGTACTGAGATCTATATCATGAGTGACAGCCTCATCAATATACAGAGACTGTCATGGCTCGCCGGTAAGAGCAAGGACGCTGCCTCTGTTCACATCGGCAAGAAGGGCAAACACAGATTCTCAGAGAACGATCTCAACAAGCTCATTCAAGTGCGAGAACACCTGTGGAGGTGTGTTATACCGGTAACTATCATCCATGTACCGTCCGCTCTCAACTTGGCCGATAATGCATCAAGATGCTTACCAGTCTCCCCTACAAGCTCACAGCTCAGACTACTCGAGCTCCTCCTGGATCGACCCTTTGAGCGTCCACGTTATGTCCCACCTAGTGGTCCTGACGAGAAAATCGACGACCTGTCCGATGCGGTACCGGCGTGTGGTGAAGATGAGCTCTTCGATGACGGAGACGAGCCGACGTTATTCATCGGGGCCATCCATGATAATGCGCGGCCCGGCGCCATACCTCCTCCTTTCCAGCAAGACGATTCGCTGCCCGTGTTCTCCGCTGAGGAAGAGGAGAGTCTCGACACCGAGCTTCAGAGGTTAGTCAGTCTCGATGCTTTCTACTCGGCTATAGTTTCCTATCTCAAGGATGGCACTGTCAACCCTCCCTTTTCTCCGGCTCGGATAAGACGTGTATCTGCCTGTTATCAACTCGATGACCGCAATCGGCTCTACAAAGTCACCCTCCAAACCCCCACGGGGGATATTATCCGACAACGCGTGGTAGTCGCCACGGGTGCTGGCCGCAAGCTCACCTATCGTCTGGTGGTCACTAAGCACATTCTGTGGAATCACTTGGGTACCAAGAAGCTCACCCTGAAGCTTGCTCGTGAGTATTTCTGGAAGCGGATGGAGGCCAGTGTGAGATCTGCGGTTGCCACCTGCCTACCCTGTGTACGAGCTAATGCCACCAGGAGGTTTCGGTCATCCGCTGGAGTGAGGAATGTTCAGAGCTTGAGGCCCTTTATGGTGGTCGGCATCGATTTGTACCTGCCTGGCCTACGATCCGATGACAGAGAGCACAGGAATAGATCCCCTGGTACTGACGTTACAGCTATGCTACTGATAACATGTACGGCTACTGGTTTCATCAAAGCGTGTGTCATCCGAGGATCGGTAACGGCCCAGACCGTCTGTGAGTGCTTGGAGGCCACCTTCTCCAGTTCTATCTTTCCAAGTATTGTCCTGTCGGATAATGACGCCAAATTCTGCGCCCAGGTGACTCAAAGATGGTGTCGTAGTCGGCACATTGTCCATTGCTTCGCTCCTGTCTATAGTCCTCTATTGTGCCTATGGGAGCGCGGTCATAGGGAAGTTACGAAACTGCTTCGTGCATGCGTTGAGGACAAGATCAATTACGGCGAAAAAGCCTGGCATACCATTGTACTGGAGTGTGTGAACGTCTTGAACGGCTCCCCTTACGGCTCTACAACTTGGCTCTCTCCGAGGATGTTGGCCTTCCCCTACTTCTCTGAGTCTGAGTATTATGGGGGGGACCCCTCTACTGACGAGATTCTCAACAAGATGTCGATGTTCACAAGCCCAGCAGAGGCGAAGAAGCTCCGAGATGAAGGACGCTCATCCTATCGACTCAAGCTCCTTCACTACCTCCAGCATTGGGAGACCTACCGTCAAGCTTCCCGGGCACGAGTTCTAGCTGACCAGGGGCGTGAGTGTGACCTGCAGGCCAACGACCAGGTTTACCATCTTACGAATGCGTCAGCATCAGCTAAGCTCGCGTCACGTGTCCAGGGTCCCTATAAGGTCGATTCACTCGAGCCGGGCCGTGCGACTGCGATTCTTTCCAGCCCAAACGGTTCTAAGTTCCGTGCGTGGGTTGGCAACCTGATAAAGGTCCCTTCCAATGAGTTCGTGGATTCGGTGCCGACAACGCCACCTTGCCCGTGGAGCTTAGATGGGTTGCCTCCGGTGGCGGTGCTCCCTCCTCCACCTCGACCTGTCCCGACGTGGCCGCCTACCTTCCTTACTAACTCTACGACGAGTACATCGACTACGATGCCACCCAATAATGCTATGTCGGCTAACTCTTCCTCACCAGTTCTGCCAGTGGTTTCAGCTCCACTTCAGGAGTCGTCAACTACTGCACAGCCTCAATCCTACAATCCTAACGCGATGTGGCCCTTCAACGACTCCGATACCGTCGCTGCCTCTTCCTTGGAGCCTAACAGTGCCTGTCCTCCGACGACTGAAGATATGGAGGTTGTCATCCCGGATTATCTACCTCTTTGATGATGATCATCGTGGTATTTTTGATCTCTGTATATCGTATTATTGCATTCTACTTTGATTATGCTGCATGTCGTGGCGGGAGAGTTCCCTCAACGGAACCATCTCGACTTCGTTGAGATATTGTAAGAATACTCAAGAGCGCAAGGACAGTAAGCTGAGACGCACCATTTGCGTATCATACAGTTTCATTTGTCGTCTCGCTCGTATCTCATTATTATCGTATATTCATCTACAATACCTCATCACAACCACTGGAGGTTGTGTTGCGTTGGGCTATTATTGTGGTGTCTACTTCCTCTATACACGGAATTGAGAACAAGTAAGATGTCAAGTGGCGTCTCCCATTCAGCGTCACAGATCCTCAGTCGTTACCTCCGACCACCCGCTTGTGGTCTTGTGTTGACATTATCCGTGTATTGACATTATCAGGCTGTCGGTGTCAATGCGCAGATACTGTCTCGCAACAGTTCCATCAAGAAAATTCCTATCGGGATGAGTCACCATGAGCCTCATGGCATGAAGGCGTGTTAGATCCCGTATTAATTAATCACTACCATTGTCTGTGTCGTCCCGTTCGGGCGAGCGAGTTATAGATGAAACGCATGACAATGGAGTGATATTGCTAGAAAAGGTTTGTGTAAGCCCACCAAGGCCCTACACTTGTGTTACAAGGAGTGGTTAATTCTATATGGTGACAGCTGTTGACATCGAGAACGCTGAGACCTACGCTGAGCTTACGAGGCTACGCGGTACCTGTAGAGCTTGCCGCACAAAGAAACTCAAAGAACTGCGTACTATACGAGCCGATATCTGTTCGGTCTCAATTGATACGAACGAGGACGAACAAGCAGAACTGTTCGAGAGGGAAGCTATTTTGGAGGCTGAAATTAGCTCGATGGCTCGTCTGGCAGATCTATGCTCCACCCGTATTGATTCCTTGGCTACTGAGAGTTGCACAGCGACATCTAGCTCAACTGCGCTAGCGGTGACTGAGAGCAGCTCAGCTGTGGAATCGTTGGTTGCGGTGATTACTGATGTCCTGAATAGAACATCGGCTACAGATAGAGGGTCGAAGTCATCTCAAACGAGTAAACCTTCCCTCACTGACGTGAACAAGTTCAACATCACTTCAAGGATTCTCAAGGATGAACACTTATTATCTACTCATTTCCGCCGATTGGAGGAGGTTTTCTCAGCTGTAAACTTTGGCGTCATGGAAGGGGGTAACTTCATACCACATCATCACCTGCAAGCACCATTGATAGAAAAGTTACTGGAGACCCTGAAAAAACATGATAACTTGGTGTCAGAGGTTAATTGTTTGATCGACAGCCGCGGACATGACTGGCAGCATATTCGCTCGTCCTTGCTGAGCAAGTACTGTAACAGCGTCGCGATTCGACGGGAGTTCAAGAAGCGTGTCGCGAAGCTCTCATTCAAGGGACCGGCGGACATTGAATCAATGTCATTGATGGGTTCGTGAGTCAACTTCGAGATCTCCGCACTCTCTACATGAGTATCAACGCGGGGTCGACGGTGAAAAACCGCGACTCGGAGGGGCAGTTCGATGAAGACACTATCTTTGTAGACTCGGTTCTTAGATGCCTCCCACAAGAATTGTTACTGCAACTGATTAGAGACGTTGTAGCCTCTTCCAAATACTCATACCCCCAGCGAGCGGGAGTTGATTGGCAGCTGAGGCTGCCCTTCGATGGGCTGATCGGCGAGGCATCGTTAATATCATGCTTGATAGAACTCTGCTATTCCCACGTATCTGTCGCGGAGATTCGGAAGCCTCGACAAGATCAGGGATCGGTGGGTCCCAGCAGGGATATCCGTGATAGAATGCAAGTTGTGGGAGAGGCGTCTAACAGCTTAGAGGGCAAGCGGGGGCCGAGTCCTTACAGAGATGCTATCAGTTGGGCCAAAGGTTTCCTTGTCGTTCTTATGGTGATGGGGCGTGCAGTGGATAGAGCAGACCGCAATAGCTCAGGTTTTTCTGACGCGGAAGACGTTCGCTTCTTGATATCTAGAGGAGGGCGTCGATACGGTTTACTAGCGTTTACTGATGAGAGAAAGGCCATGTCCACGATACAAGAACATTTTGGCGACAAGAATGATTTCGGCGTCGTGAAGAAATTCGACGTCGCATTCAGAAACTCAAAAAACGAGGTAGGTCGCAGCTCGCAGTAGGCGACGGCTACGACCTTAGAAGATCGCCTACATCGCTCGCAATTTCGGTCAGCAGAAGCAAGTTGACCTCAGAGATTCGAGTACAGCGCTG